AATATAAGAAAATTCTCTTTTGTAAACAAAGTGGTAGACAGTTGGAACAAGTTAGGTGAGAAGGTGGTGGGGGGCCAAAACCATCAGTAGCTTCAAAGCGTTATATGACAAAGAGTGCTGGGTAGACGGGACACCACGAGCGTAGCTCTCATCCTGTAACTACACTTAGGTAATTACACTTAGGTAATTACACGTGGAGGGGGATATGGGAAGGCCAGCGTGAGGTGGGGGGAGAGGGGGTGACCAGGCAGGACGTGTGATCTGTCTCTGTCCAATCTCACCCACCCACCTGCCTGCATGCCCACCTACCCACCTTCTAACCCAGCCACCTGTTCACCCACCTCCCTACTCGCCCACCCACCTGTTCACCCACCTGCTTGCTAGCCCACTCAACTGCCTGCATGCCCACCTACCAACCCACCCACCTGTTCACCCACCTTCCTGCTCACCCACCCACCACCCACCTGTTCACCCCACCCACCTGTTCGTGCCACCTTCCTGCTCACCCACCCACTTGCCTGATAGCCCACCCAGCCACCTGTTCACCCACCTGAATGCTCACCCACCCAGCTGTTCACCTACCCACCCACCTGTTTACCCATCTGCCTACATGCCCATCTGCCAACCCACCTTCCTGCTCGCCCACCCACCTGCCTCATAGCCCACCCAGCCACCTGTTCACCCATCTGCCTGGTTGCCCACCCACCCACCTGAATGCTTGCCCTCCCACCCACCTGTTCACCCACTTCCCTGCCCACCCACCTGTTTACCCACCTGCCTGCATGCCCACTTACCTACCTGCCAATCCACCCACCCACCTGTTCACCCACCTGCCTGCTCACCCACCCACCTGCCTGATAGCCCACCCACCTGCCTGCCCACCCACCCACCTGCCTGATAGCCCACCCACCCACTTGCCTGATCGAATCTGTTCACCCACCAAGCCCATCTGCCTGGATGATACATGGTTACCTGGATGATGGGGTTCTGGGAGTTCTTCTACTCCCCAAGCCCGGCTCGAGGCCAGGCTTGACTTGTGAGACTTTGGTCCACTAGGCTGTTGCTTGGAGCGGCCCGCAGGGCCACATACCCACCACAGCCCGGTTGGTCCGGCACTCCTTGGAGGAATAAATCTAGTTTCCTCTTGAAATTGTCCACGGTTGTTCCGGCAATATTTCTTATGCTTGCTGGGAGGACGTTGAACAACCGCGGACCTCTGATGTTTATACAGTGTTCTCTGATTGTGCCTATGGCGGCACTGCTCTTCACTGGTTCTATTCTGCATTTTCTTCCATATCGTTCACTCCAGTACGTTGTTATTTTACTGTGTAGATTTGGTACTTGGCCCTCCAGTATCTTCCAGGTGTATATTATTTGATATCTCTCTCGTCTTCTTTCTAGCGAGTACATTTGGAGGGCTTTGAGACGATCCCAATAATTTAGGTGCTTTATTGCGTCTATGCGTGCCGTATATGTTCTCTGTATTCCCTCTATTTCAGCAATCTCTCCTGCTCTGAAGGGGGAAGTGAGTACTGAGCAGTACTCAAGACGGGACAACACAAGTGACCTGCCATCCACCCATCCAAAACCCACCTGCCTGAACTCACCTATCCCTGCCCACCTACCAGCTAGACAGCTAACCACCCACCCAGCCCCACACACTAATTAGTGTGTGTCAATTCATATCATGTGCATGGTATAAAAATTGTTGGAAATTGTCTTTTTTGGACTCAAAGGTGAAAAAGTACTCTTATCCGGAAAACATGATTATCCAGCTGGGGGGTCCTTCCCATATAGTCCGGATAATCGAGTGGAGACAGTATTTACGAATGATCTCTTGTTTTTGCTCTATGGTCATCCTTACAAGTGCTTTCATATGTTGAACCTTACCACTAACTTTCTTGGAACCCATGGTGTGATATACAATAATCAGTTTTATGTTGAAAAAGCAAAAAATTACCCAAAAATATAGAATTTCTTATAAGCATAAGCATAATTCTTATAAACAGAGGCAGGTCGGCCCGCGCGACTGGGAACCGTGTGCTTCGTCGACCCGAACGTGAAAAGCATGTTTTTCAATGGCACATCTGGTTCATACAGTTTTCCATCTCTTCCAAACCTCATGTTACCACTAACAATTATTTCACCAGTGTGAATAGTTGTCAACATATTCACTTCATGTCTGTCTTTCCAGCGCATGGATAAAATCTTGTCATATTTTCGAAGTTGGCAATCACCAACACCAATATTAGTAGTATCAAAAACTGGCATTTCTTTCCTATGTGTCTTTACAGTGTCACACACTCCCTTTTTATGTTCAAGAAGGAACTTTGTCAGCAAGGGGCTTGTATAATAATTGTCAGTGTACAGAATGTGCCCCTTGTTTAGCAGTGGTTCCATGAGTGTCTTCACTTCACTGCCAGAAAACCTGTGAGGACCTTGAACGGGCATGTCTATGTCTGTACAGGAATATAATATCATACCCATCACCATTCCGGTTTCACAGTTGCACAGTACAAAGAATTTGAGACCAAAATGGAGTCATTTCGATGGAATGTACTGTTTGAAGATATGACGTCCCTTGAAAAGAACTAGGGATTCATCAAGGACAACATTCTGTCCTGGTACAGAGTACAGTGACACCTTGGCTTACGAATGCCCCTATTTACGAACTTTTCGGGTTACGAGCCCAATTTCTTCGTAAAATGTGAATCGGCTTACGAGCTTTGCCTCAAGAAATAAAGTTTGTTGATACTTGTATGGACGACCTAGCTCATGGTTCCTGGTGGCATGGTCGCTCACGTGTCAGTTTACCAGTGCCTCCTGCTTAGTGACGATCACGTATGAATTCTTTGTAAAGAGTTTCATTGTTTTTTTTTTGGGGGGGGGGGATTTGAACATAATAGTAATTATTATATATCATGCCATGGATCTTAAGGAAGGAAGTCAGTCTTAAGGTTAAACCTAAGAAAACACATGTGAGGATGACCATAGAGCGAAAACACGAGATCATTCGTAAACATGAAAATGGTACACGGGTTGTTGAACTAGCTAGGCATTACAACAAATCTATGTCAACGATATGCACTGTATTTGTTAAGAAAAATGACATTATGATTGCTAAAGTGGCAAAAGTTTTTATTAATTTGAATACACAACAAGGAGTTAGCGGGTGATAGCGTTTCAGAGGCCATCATTTGTGAAAAAGCAAGGCTACTTGCATGAAGACCTTTTAAAGAAAACCCTCTGGAACAAGTGATGCAGATATGAAAGAGTTTAAGGTGAGCAAGGGATGGTTTGAGAAATTTAGAAAAAGAAGTGGCCATCTTGGAAAAAATTTCCAGAATGTCCTAGGGCTGCTGGCTGGCTTAGTACCGAGTGAGCAACCATGGGTAAAGCATGCGCCTCTAGTTCCCAAACACCTGTGTGATGCAGTGTTGAAAGATCGCTCTTTGTCGGTGAAATTCAGACCTTATTGTTTGAAGAACATAAGAGTCATGATAATGATGAAGCTAGGCACAATATGGACATAACGCAAAGGTCGGATTCAAGTGATACAGCACTGATGAAGACAATATAGCGAGCGACCGTATCCAGTAGTAACTGAGTGCCACCCATGCTCACCTGTGTTATCTCCAATTTTTATAGATGAAACATAGATGAATCATTTTCTGAGTTCAGTGATGATGCATCTAATACAAATAGCATAGATGAACAGCATTAGTAGCTTCCATGGTGGTGTTTGCCATAGATATTTTCAAGAATAGCTGAATCTCTTCCAGAATACCTTACAAAGCAATCTTCTCAAGACTACTTTTCAAATTGATCTTTTCCTATAATTTTTTCAAGACTACCTTACACTTCACAAGCTTGGCTACATACCACCTACAGGTACTAAAGCCAAGGGTGTATGCGAGTGCATTATTTTCAAGTACACAGAACGAAAAAACAAGAAGTGAAAATCTACCTGGTGCATCGAGAGTGAAGTTGTGCTGTGTACCATGGAGTGCTTTGTTGATTATCACTCACTTTCGAAGTACTGAGTGTGTAATACAGTGTGTTACTGTGTAAATAGTGTGTGAAACTGTACATATTGTAATTTTAGTGAATTTTGAACAAGTAATATTGCGACAATAAACATTTATTGTGGACACATTACTAACACATGTATCACAGTTCCGTGGAACATTATGAACATTCTACTGTATATATATTGTAAAGGACACAAGTGTCCTACGATAAAAAATAAATAAAAATGCATAGGAAATACATAGAGCAAATAATTGAAAATATATTTGTGGAAACGCGCGGTGATTGAATGGCCCACGCAACTGTCTCTAGGAGCTTGATGCACTGGCGACCAGCCTGTTATGATGTCACACGCCCCCCCTTCTCCATATTCTCACAGCCAAAGTGACTTTTTTTTTGTTTTTTTATATGTATGTGTTCATGGAAGGGAAGTTATCATTTTACAAAGATCAAAGAATTTTTGTGAACACTTGATTTTTGGCACACGGGGGAATGGCACAATGAATGAAGTGCATCACAGTGGTTAAGGGATTCACAAGAAGGAACTGTACAAATGCATGGGCAACAACTTATTATACAATATCAATGTTGAGCAGGCATTATACCTCACATACGTTTTTTGGAGAAGGAATATGAAAAAGAATTTGTGGGTTTCCACCTGGAGAAGATGTACAAATCAAAGGAGCAGATATCTTTGAATGCCATAACAGTCCACCATCACAGACTAAGATAATGGTACAATGAGTTAATCCAATCAGCAGGTTCAATTCATAGTCACACTGTGTCATGAAGGAAAGTATTTTGACAAATTAAGCACTTGATAACTCCAAGGACACCATCTGCTAGATGGCAAATAATGGGTTTTCATATTATGACAAATTCACACCATATTTCATGTTTTTCAATAGTACACATAAGAGATGGGTCATCAGCAGCTGTGCCAGCAGTGATACTGGTAACCCTGGACTTACCTTATATCCAGGAAACTTTACCAATTGGTGAGCGTATATCATGGCAGGACAGCCAATCTTCTTTGATACAGGTGGTGTTCTGCGCTTTATCTGTACATGGCCTTCTCGCTGAAATTGAAAAATGACTAGGATCTTTAAAAAGAAATATTAAAGAATTTCAGTGCTTAAGTGCTGATATACTAAGTCTTAGATTCTTGCCAAATTTCTGAGATATTTGCTGACCCAGAAACTGTCTCTATCAAAGAATGGAAGGAAGCTTGTGGATTCGTAATTGACTTGAAACTAGGAATACTAACCAGAAAGAAACACAAAACAAATTACTTTTTTAACCCTTAAACTGTGCAACATGTCATGTCATATGACGTGTTGAGAAATTGACGCAGAAGTACGCATCACGTCATATAACGTTTTGGAGTACTACGCAAGATTTTAACGTCCCGCGGATACACGGGGTTCACATCACCTTCCTCAGGGCACTTGTAAACAGACACCATTTAAAAAACCAGCGTTGAATGTAATGAAATACCATTTTCTGGGTGAGTCCCGAATGCTTCCCGGAGCTTATTAGGCTGATACGCTAATGTCAGACTAGGGCATCAGTCATGTGTATGGAGTTCTTATGGGCCTTCCGGGGACCACGAGCCAGAACCTGGCCCCCTCTAGAGAGGCAAGGGGAGCAATGGCCTATAGAACCCCCAGTGTAATTGGAAGCATTCTATGTCTGCCATCAACCGGGTTAGGCACCCAGAAAGGTAGGCGACCCAAAACAAACCCCTATTCTGGTGAAAATTGCAACCAAAAGCCAAATGAGTGGATAGAACTCCCCAAACAAAAACAAGCAAACTAGTATGACTCACCCGTCATCGCGCCGCTGTCTGCCCAACCCCCCCTCCCTGGGAGGGGGAAGGGGTAGCCCCAGACCTTCCGCGCCGGCGATCCACACCCCAGTTCTGAGGTTGGATGTCAAAACATGCAAAAAAAAAAACGCCGACCGGAGGGAGGGAGGGAGGGATGCCAGGGAGCCTCCGGGACTCACCCAGAAAATGGTGTTTCATTACATTCAACGCTGGTTTTCTAGGGGGGAGCCCCTACGGCTCCCCGGAGCTAACAACCCCACAGAGGAAAAGAATAGGGTTTACCCGGGAGGAGGTTGCTGCTCGCTCCTCAACCTGAAGCCGAGACAATTGGCTGCATCCGCCAGCCCAAAGCGACACAGGCCCGACTGGGCCCAGGAATGTTTACTAGGTAACGAGCGGCCAGGACCCTGTTCGACCGACAAAATCCCCCCGCCCGAATGTCAACCCATGACATACCTGTATTGCCAAAGACAGCAGCAAGAGCCACAAACTTGCGGACGTCATGGGCACTGGGATAGACCACAGGCTGGGTAGCCTAAATAACCCTGCGGATGACCTGGGAGACCCGCACCCTTGAACAGGGAAGAAGGGAAACCGGATCAACCCAAAGCGCGTCCACAGACACAGAAGCCGTGGCGCGCAAATAACAGCAGAGAGCCGCAACCGGACACAAAACATGATGCACCCCCGGCCGAACCAACCAAGCATTCACAACCCAGGGACCCCTCCGGAAAGCCGCAGTCTCATTCTTCGACAGAAAAGAAGGAGAAGGCTGCAGACGAACAAACTGATCACCCCGACCGAAGGAGCAGAAACCTCTGCGCCGGAAGAGAGCATGAAGCTCACCTACCTGACTCCCACAGGCAAATGCCAACAGGAAGTCACAGAAATGATGATAAACTCGAGTCAAAAATACCATACGCAAAGACTCAAAGAGAAGATCGAACCATCCACGTGATGTACCGGTCCGATCTGCTGGAAGAGGCAGAGCCGCAGAAAAACCTCCGAGTTCGGACACCGAGCAAGCAGCGCCTGAAACCACAGCTGGGCCGGCCACCAAGGGACCAAGAGTACAACTCTCCCCTGGCAAGTCTCTAAGCGAGTCAGGACTTGGAGCAACAGCTGAACCGGGGGAAGAGGTACAGGAACCTCCACCTCGACCAGTCCTGCCGAAAGATGTCGACCCCAATGGCCTCCCAGTTGGGAAAGGGCACCATAGACAGGGGAAGGCGCCGCAATCACGTGGACGCGAAGAGGTCCACCTCGGGGCATCCGAACGTCTGGGAAAGCCAATGGAAGGAGTCGGCGTCGACCGTCCATTCCGTGAAGAGGGGAACGAAACGAGACAGACCATCAGCCAAGACGTTGCACATTCCCCACACGTGAACCGCCACGAGAGCCAAACCCCGAGAACTCAGCAGACGAGTCACCCGAAGCAACCAGCGCCAAAGAGCCAAGGACCGCACTGGAATCCCCCAGTTCAGACAATGAACCACCGGTTAGAAGTCCGAATGGAGCCAGATCGTCAACCTGCGGGCGACTCGAATCCTCTAAAGAGCAAACCACACCGCCGCGAACTCCCTCACAGTGCTGTGGGCTCGTTGGAAGGACAGACCCCACTAACCCTGGCCGGTCTGGTGAGCACTGGTCACAAAGTCCCAGCTGAGAGACGACGCATCCATGAACACATTGAGCGAGGGCTCGGGTAGGTGCCAAGGCACTGAACCCCAAAAAACCCGAAGAGGAAGCTGGCGACGCAGCAACCGAGACAAAGCCCCCGGGGTCTGAACCCAGCGATCGCGAGAGAGGCGGAAGGGACGTCCCCAAAGGAACCAAACCCGAAGCCAAACCCGACCCGGCTGGTAGACCAGCATCGCAAAGTTCAGGCTCCCGCACAGACCCTCAAGCAACCACCGGGTGACCCAGGAGCCCCCTAGAAACCGGCACATGCGGAACCGCAGCCGCAGAAGAGACTCCGAAGGAAGAGACAAGGAAGCGGTCCGAGAGTTCCACACAAGGCCCAGCCAGGTCCAAACCTGGGAGGGAACCAGATGGGACTTACTCCAGTTCACCAAGAACCCGAACCCGGCGAGCTGAGAAAGAACCAAATCCCTGGCCAGCATACAAGCGGACTGGCTTGGAGCCCAAACCAGCCAGATGTCGAGGTAGGCCAACACTCAAACACCTAACAGACGCAGACAGGTCACAACGAGCCGCATGAGGCACATGAAAACGCGATGTGTCAGGTTCAACCCGAACAGGAGACAATGAAAGCGATAAGCACTTAGCCCCACGACAAAACCGAGCCAGTCCCTGAACCCCGGATGAATCAGGACGTACCAATAACTGTCCCGGAGGTCCAGGGAAACCATCCAAGAGCTCGGCTCCAATAGGAGCTGAACCTGAGACAGCGTGGTCATCCGAAAGGAGGGGGAATGAACCCAGGGGTTCAGATGGGACAAGTCCACAATGAACCGCAGGTCCGCACAGTCCCGTTTCGGGACTGGAAACAGACGGGAAACCCATCTGAGGGACGTCATCGTTTCGACCACGCCCAAGTGAACCCACTCCAAGATGACCTGACGAAGCGCAGGGGAAGAAGCCTGCCCCGCCAGCCCCGAACCCCCTGCAGGGGGAGGGGCAACCCAACGCCACCGGAGGCCATGTGAAACGATCTGAAACGCCCACAAATCGTGGGACCAGGCGTGAGCGAACAATGCAAGCCCCCCCCCCCCCATCGCCCCGTCAATGAGGTGAACTGCAAAAGGGCCGGCACCCCTTATGAGACCTAGAACCTCGCACAGAGCGAACACCGTGCCGACCAGATGAAGGCAGGTCCAAAGGAGGAGCTGAACCCGAACCTGACACCAGTGGCTTATCACAACGAGAGGAACCCCGAGCCTTGGCACGACCCTTCCGGGAAGGCCTCCCCTGAGACCCACAGAGAACCAGCAAGTCCGACATAGGACGGCAAGAAGCCGAAGAAGCCTGAGGGCTCAAACAAGAGAGGAAAAAATGGGGAAGACATCCTAAGAGCCAAGGTCTAAGCGGATTCCACAGAGGAGGCAAGCACCGTCTGCCAACACGCGAGCCAGGAGGCATTAAACAAAGCCACCGCATCCCACAAAATCGGCGCGAAAAGCTTCAGCAAGGCAGCCAACGAGTGAGCCACCGAGGCTCAGGCGCCAGACCTAGGAACAGACCCAGGCGCCCCCAGATCCTCCGTGAGCCAGTCGGACGACAGCTCCAGGAGGGAAAAGTAGTGCAAGGCCGCAACCAAAAGGCCCCGAGTGCGCAAGTCCTCCTCCATCTGCGCCGCTGAAAGGGAGGGAACCTGCACATAAGAGCTGAATGACACCAACATCCCGAGGAAGGGCAGGAACAAACACTCATTGAGATGCTCAAGGTCGCCCCCCCAGGAAAACCTGAAGCACCGTCGAAGCCTCCCGCCACTGAAGCGTACGGGAACGGCAGGAGGAGTGCCAAGCCTCCAAGGTAAAGACCAGACAGTCCGCCAGCCAGGACGACTCCAGAACCTCGTAACAGGGCGAGAAAGGGAACGAAGTCCCAAACTTGAAAGCCGAGGGATGAATTGCCGAGGCACAATCCGTCTAGTGGTTGTTTTATGCTGGCCGTATATATAATTCTTGGTTCTAAACATGTCATAGCTACTTATTTACACTCATGCTTTCTGGCCTTTGAGTGTCAGTAACTGCTCTTCTGTCATCCCCAATTTCCTGATATATTGCGGATTTTACAGCAGAGATTGGAATGCCAATATCCCACTCAATTTCAGGCTTATCACTTGCAGTTTTAGCTGCTTAGCACACATCTGTGACAGGCTAGTATGCCTCCTATGTGTGATGGTATCCATACAAATGAGACTGAAACTTGCTCTGTGTATTTGGTAATTGATGAAAGACCCACAGTTGGTAGTGGACCCCATTTCCATCCTACAGGTGGAAGTGGACCCCATACCCATCCTATGGGCAGTTGTGGGCCCAAACCATCCAATGTGCAGCCGTGGGCCCAAACCATCCTACAGGTGGTATGGACCCCTTACTCACCCAACAGGTGGTAGTGGACCCCATACCCATCCTACAATTGGTAGGCGACGCCATACCCATACTTACATACATCGTATATCCATCCTGTTTGCGGTAGTGTACCCCATAGACCTTCTAACGTAACATCGTTTTCTGTAGACATTCCAACACTCTATTCTCTTGAAATTTTCAAAGCACACACTATTGTATATTACGTTGATTGGCAAAGCACCATTATTATATGTAATAATTAATTTTGCTTATTATTATTTGCTGAGAACAACCAACATTTCTCAAAACAAAACTACGAGCCTTCAATAGGATGTATTTGATACATAATATTCTAATAGCAAGGACAATAGAAGGTAAATTTCACAACACATGTGGGACTTGAAAAATAAAATTGCCATTAAAATTGAACCAATTACGACTATTCTGCTGCCTACAGCGATAGACGGGTACTATGAGATGTAAATTGGTACATGAGGAAGATTTAGTGCCTTAAAAAAATATAACTGGGAATATACCACATAGGTACTCATAGATTAGCAAAATAGAGACTATAAGCAATTAGTCATATATGTGCTGTCTTGTGTGAGAATAGGTTGCCTCAGATCTGGACCATCACCTCAGATCTGGGCCAGCTCCTCAGATCTGGACCAGCTCCTCAGATCTGGACCATCACCTCAGAACTGGACCATCACCTCAGATCTGGACCATCACCTCAGATCTGGACCATCACCTCAGATCTGGACCAGCACCTTAGATCTGGACCAGCACCTCAGATCTGGACCAGTACCTCAGATCTGGACCAGCACCTTAGATCTGAGACAGCACCTCAGATCTGGACCATCACCTCAGATCTGGTCCATCACCTCAGATCTGGACCATCACCTCAGATCTGGACCATCACCTCAGATCTGGTCCATCTCCTCAGATCTGGACCATCACCTCAGATCTGGGCCAGCACCTCAGATCTGGACCATCACCTCAGATCTGGACCAGCACCTCAGACCTGGGCCAGCACCTCAGATCTGGACCAGCACCTCAGATCTGGACCATCACCTCAGATCTGGACCATCACCTCAGATCTGGACCAGCACCTCAGATCTGGACCAGCACCTCAGATCTGGACCAGCACCTCAGATCTGGACCAGCACCTCAGATCTGGGCCAGCACCTCAGATCTGGACCAGCACCTCAGATCTGGACCAGCACCTCAAATCTGGGCCAGCACCTCAGATCTGGGCCAGCACCTCAGATCTGGACCAGCACCTCAGATCTGGACCAGTACCTCAGATCTGGACCAGCACCTCAGATCTGCACCAGCACCTCAGATCTGGGCCAGCACCTCAGATCTGGGCCAGCACCTCAGATCTGAGACAGCACCTCAGATCTGGACCATCACCTCAGATCTGGACCAGCACCTCAGATCTGGACCAGCACCTCAGATCTGGACCAGCACCTCAGATCTGGACCAGCACCTCAGATCTGGACCAGCACCTCAGATCTAGACCAGCACCTCAGATCTGGACCAGCACCTCAGATCTGGACCAGTACCTCAGATCTGGACCAGCACCTCAGATCTGGACCAGCACCTCAGATCTGGGCCAGCACCTCAGATCTGGACCAGTACCTCAGATCTGGACCATCACCTCAGATCTGGACCAGCACCTCAGATCTGGACCAGCACCTCAAATCTGGGCCAGCACCTCAGATCTGGGTCAGCTACCTTAGATCTGGACCAGCACCTTAGATCGAGGTCAGCAACGCAAAAGAATTCTAATACTCATATGAAGAAAATGGTTAGGAAATTCAATGTCAATATTCCAGTTATGCATTCCTTTGGATGTTGGCTAAAACTTATGAGCACTTCCATGTAACAGCAAATACAAAACCAAGTTTAGCAGCTTTTCTACCTCTAACCTATCCCGCTGCTCTCTATATTTCTCCTTTCTTCTTTTGCCAAAATCTGGTCCTTGATGACACCGCCATGACTTAACACCTCCAAACATAAATGGGACACCATCAAATGGAATCTTGGCCTGGTCATTTCTCCAGTATAATCGACTCTTTTCTCCGATGTAAGGTCTCCAGTCTGAAAAAAATTATGATAATTTATCTATCTTATTAATGGCATTTTCTCTAATGCAGCATTCACCCTTCCTTGCCATACTGTTCTGTCGCTCAAAATTTTACCTTATTATTTACCAATGGTACCAGATGTGCTGAAATAATGTACCAAATTATGTGAAACAGATCGACTGATAAAACATTAATTACCTCACAAATTTTACACAAATGACCTCAAATTCAATAGTACTGTATATATGTAATGCATAGACACTTTACTCCAACATCATGCTTGGGTCATATGTTGCCAACTATGAAATATAATAATAATAATAATAATAATAATAATAATAATAATTATAATAATTATAATAATAATAATAATAATAATAATAACTAATAATTTATTGAGTCGAGAGACAGGCAGCTAAAGTGTATACAGACAGCCATGAGCTTTACAAACCCTCTGAGGCTGAGACTCGCTGGATAACTTATTCTGCATATGTGGTCCGTTACCCTGAAAATCTGGGGGGAAAAATCTACAAGTTCATGGCATAAATTCGACAGAATTTTGTTTGTAGTCACCAATACAAGAAGTCCTGATCCACTTGCTAACTTTACTCTTATTGTTGATGGAACATTGTTATTTACATGGAAGAGGTGTTGGTGGATGATGACAGTGTTGGGTTGGCTGAAATGGAGATTAATGGTGATGAGGTAAACTCAGCAGACTGCCTGTCCCCATGTACCCTAATGAACCTAATGTAACTGCCTGCTGTGACAGGCCTTGTTTCCTTCACCCTTCCCCTGTTCCCCTCCCCTCCCCTTCCATCTTCCCTTCTCTCCCCTTCTCTCTATTCCTCACTAACCAACTTCCTCCATGGCCATGACAGGTGGAGCAATCAATCAGTCCAGAACCATAGCATAACCCTCTCGAGTTACTCTGGGGCCGAACATGGATACCTTGTTTACCAGGTTTGGGATTTGTAAATGTTTTGAGGACAGGAAAGGCCTGCTCTCGCAGTTGGATGGAACAAGTTTTACGTGCCAACCTACAGGGGAAATCCTACTTTTCTGGGCAGGCCCAAGCACAGGGATGGTGGTGGTCATTGGTTGAGCTGAGGGTAGCCATAGATACCTATGTAGCCAGAGCTCCCTAGGGTAGTGCCTGTCACTCATTGGCTGGACGCGGGGCCCAGACCTGAACTTTTAACTCTATCCTGTCCCGGGTATGCAATCCGCACACTTTCACGAACTAGTCCTGGCAGTGCAGGCGAACGTGCGGGCGAGCGCTCAGCGACACTAAATGTGTATACTCGTTTCAGTTTTCTCACCTTAATTCTCGTGCTACGTGGCTCATTTTGGTATCATTGTGTTTCCAATTAAATTCCCTGCAGGAGTTGTATATGCATATATTGTCCAAAAGCCAAGCATTACCTTGAGGTTACCTTGAGGTGATTTCGGGGCTCAGCGACTCCGTGGCTCGATTGTCGACCAGGCCTCCTCATTGCTGAACTGGTCAACCAGGCTGTTGGATGCGGCTGCTCACAGCCTGACATATGAGTCAAAGCCTGGTTGATCAGGTATCCTTTGGAGGTGTTTGTCAAGTTTTCTCTTGAACACTGTGAGGGGTCGGCCAGTTATGCCCCTTATGTGTAGCGGAAGCGTGTTGAACAGTCTCGAGCCTCTGATGTTGATAGAGTTCTCTCTATTTATTTAGAATTTAGTTCAGAGTACCTGTTGCACCTCTGCTTTTCAATGGGGTATTCTGCACATCCTGCCATGCCTTCTAGTCTCATGTGCTGTTATTTCTGTGTGCAGGTTCAGGACCAGCCCCTCTACTATTTTCCGTGTGTAAATTATTATGTATCTCTCCTGCCTGCGCTCAAGAAAATACAGATTTAGGCTCTTTAGTCGGTCCCAGTAGTTTAGAGGTTTTACTGAGTGGATTCTAGCAGTAAAGGATCTCTGCACACTCTCCAGGTCAGCAATTTCTCCAGCTTTGAAAGGGGCTGTCATAGTGCAGCAGTATTCCACTCTAGAGAGCACTAACATCTTGAAAAGCATCATCATCGGTATAGCATCTCTAGTGTGAAAGTTTCTTGTTATCCAACATGTCATTTTTCTTGTAGTTGTGACGGCTACTTTATTGTGTTCTTTAAATGTATGGCCTTCCGACATCAGTACACCCAAATCCTTTACATTACCTATCCATTCTATATTATGATTTGACCGAGTTTTGTACATGGTTTCCGTTTTTATATTTTCATTTTTTCTGTAGCGCATGAGCTGAAACTTATCTTCATTAGACACCATATTACTTTCTGTAGCCCCATAAAAAGACCTGATTGACATCTGATTGGTGGTTTGCTGTGTCCTCTATGTTGTCTACTCTCATAAAAATCCTAGTGTGATCTGTAAAGGATGATGATACAGTACTATAGGTTGTGTCCTTGTCTATGTCCGATATGAGGATGAGAAAAAGTACTGGAGTACTTTTTAAGTACTTTAAAGTAAAAAAGTACTGGAGTACTTTTAAAAGTACTGAAGACAGTACTAAAAGTACTGTCACAGGCTTTTCCGAAATATGTGTAAATTACATCAGCGTTTTGTTTATCTTCCATGGCATCTAATGCCATGTCATAATGGTCCAGCAACTGTAATAGGCAAGAGCGCCCTGTTCTGAAACCATGTTGTCCGGGGTTATGGAGAAGTTGTGATTCCATGTATTTTGTGATCTTACTTCTTAGCACTCTTTCGAAGATTTTTATGATGTGCGATGTTAGCGCTTTCGGTCTGTAATTTTTTGCCTCTGCCTTATTTCCTCCTTTATGTAGTGGTGCTATCTCTGCTGTTTTTAATATGTCAGGGACATTGCCAGTATCTAGGCTTTGTCTCCAAAGAATATGAAGGGCCTGTGATAGCATTTTTTTACAGTTCTTGATGAATATAGAGTTCCAAGAATCAGGGCCTGGTGCCCTGATTCCCAAACCCCAAACATACCAGCGATACAAAGATGCGAGAAACAACTACACGGCAGTGAGGAGAGAGGCAGAAAGAAATTTTGAGAAAGGGATTGCGGACAAATGTAAAACAGAACCAGGTCTATTCTATAAATTCATAAACAACAAATTGCAGGTAAAGGATAATATTCAGAGGTTGAAAATGGGAAATAGATTCACGGAAGATGAAAAGGAAATGTGTGAAACACTAAACGAAAAGTTCCAAAGTGTGTTTGTACAAAATGAAATCTTTAGGGAACCAGATACAATAAGAATTCCAGAGAACAACATAGAACACATAGAGGTGTCTAGAGACGAAGTGGAAAAAATGCTCAAGGAGCTCGGTAAGAACAAAGCAGCTGGCCCAGATGGCGTTTCACCATGGGTTCTGAGAGAATGTGCATCTGAGCTCTCAGCATTCCACTTCACCTGATCTTTCAGGCATCCCTGTGTACAGGAATCGTAGCAGACGGGTGGAAACAGGCTAACATAGTTCCAATCTACAAAAGTGGCAGCAGGGAAGACCCCCTCAATTATAGACCTGTATCATTGACAAGTGTAATAGTGAAAGTATTGGAAAAACTAATCAAAACTAAATGGGTAGAACACCTAGAGAGAAATGATATAATATCAGACAGACAGTATGGTTTTCGATCTGGAAGATCCTGTGTATCGAATTTACTCAGTTTCTATGATCGAGCCACAGAGATATTACAGGAAAGAGATGGTTGGGTTGACTGCATCTATCTGGACCTAAAAAAGGCTTTCGACAGAGTTCCACATAAGAGGTTGTTCTGGAAACTGGAAAATATTGGAGGGGTGACAGGTAAGCTTCTATCATGGATGAAAAATTTTCTGACTGATAGAAAAATGAGGGCAGTAATCAGAGGCAATGTATCAGAATGGAGAAATGTCACAAGTGGAGTACCACAGGGTTCAGTTCTTGCACCAGTGATGTTTATTGTGTACATAAATGATCTACCAGTTGGTATACAGAATTATATGAACATGTTTGCTGATGATGCTAAGATAATAGGAAGGATAAGAAATTTAGATGACTGTCATGCCCTTCAAGAAGACCTGGACAAAATAAGTATATGGAGCACCACTTGGCAAATGGAATTTAATGTTAATAAATGTCATGTTATGGAATGTGGAATAGGAGAACATAGACCCCACACAACCGTATTATGTGAGAAATCTTTAAAGAATTCTGATAAAGAAAGAGATCTAGGAGTGGTTCTAGATAGAAAACTATCACCTGAGGACCACATAAAGAATATTGTGCAAGGAGCCTATGCTATGCTTTCTAACTTCAGAATTGCATTTAAATACATGGATGGCGATATACTAAAGAAATTGTTCATGACTTTTGTTAGGCCAAAGCTAGAATATGCAGCTGTTGTGTGGTGCCCATATCTTAAGAAGCACATCAACAAACTGGAAAAGGTGCAAAGACATGCTACTAAGTGGCTCCCAGAACTGAAGGGCAAGAGCTACGAGGAGAGGTTAGAAGCATTAAATATGCCAAAACTAGAAGACAGAAGAAAAAGAGGTGATATGATCACTACATACAAAATAGTAACAGGAATTGATAAAATCGACAGGGAAGACTTCCTGAGACCTGGAATTTCAAGAACAAGAGGTCATAGATTTAAACTAGCTAAACACAGATGCCGAAGAAATATAAGAAAATTCACCTTCGCAAATAGAGTGGTAGACGGTTGGAACAAGTTAAGTGAGAAGGTGGTGGAGGCCAAGACCGTCAGTAGTTTCAAAGCGTTATATGACAAAGAGTGCTGGGAAGACGGGACACCACGAGCGTAGCTCTCATCCTGTAACTACACTTAGGTAATTACACTTCCCCGCCCTATAGTGGGCAATATATACCACTTACGATTTTTTTATTATTTTTCCCATGATCAGTGAACACAAATTAACAGGTTAGGAAGAAAAAATAATATATTTTTTTTTTTTTGGTATGCGCCTGTGGGTGTCAAACGGTATTTAGCTATGCGCCATT